CACAAAAATGTTGGGAAATTTATCTTTTCCTCTATTTGAAAATTCATGTTCTAATTATCAAGTCAAATAACCAAATTCATACACACATGCAAGTATTGTCATGTTGTTATATGTTTATAATAAATTATAGTTCATCTCGTACATAATAATAAGTAAGATTGAATTATATTATATTTGATTTTTTGTACATTTATTATTTTATGTTTATATCGTTTTGATTATTTTTCTGTTACCAAATTCCTAAGGATTAACCTAATCAAAACGTTTAGAAAACTTTTAATTGAACAAAAGTAAGTTTAATCCTTTTTCCGCCCCAAATAAATATCAATATTAAATTTAATCCCTTTTTTCTATCCTGGTTTTGGTCTTGTCCGCTTCCATTGGCTAGGTATAACGAGCACGTTTATTTCAAGTGGGTCCATGATTTCTGCTTTTCTGCCACATAGGCCAAAAATATGAGTGACATCCACTTGAGACATATTTCAAGTGGTTTCACAGGGGTCTTATTTGATTTATTTGCAATGATTTTGACCCTATGATGTTCTTCTACAAGGTGGTTGCTTTGGAAAGGCATGGACAGAGCTTGTTTTTAGCTTTCTTGACACGGCCCTGTTGGCTGTTTAGACTCGAATGAAGTTGAAATAAAAGCAACTGTGAAGGCCGTGGAGTTATATGCAAACTCAGAACGGCAGGCTGTTATGAAACTGGTGATAACCGGTGTCTCGATGCGTGGATTTTGTTCTGCTACGGGCGTGATTCCAAAGATTGTTGGTTATTGGTTGAACTGAGGTTACGTTGATGAGTTTAAGGTTCATAATTTGACGGTGGGATTCGATTTAATCGACATGTCCCTTCTGTTTATGTTTGTTTGTTCTCATGTTGGTCGTGTTTTACTTGATGATGATGACGACTTCGTAGGTAGCCGTGTAATCATTTGGAGTTTCGGTTTGTTCATATGGAAAGATATACGTATGTAGTATGTACACAAATGGAACGACAGATGAAGCGAAAATGCACGTTGAAAATGAGTTGGAAGTTTCGAGAATGAAAGGGAGAGGTAATATGGTATAAGTAATGCCACGTGGTTGGCATATACTCGTGGAGAAGAAAAATCATGTGGCTAAGACTAAATACACGTGTGAAACGAACTTGATAACCTATTCAGGTTCATTCTCGTGAGTATCAACTTCAAGCTTTGTTTTGACAAGGCCAAATCAGAAATCAGGTTTGCCTTGTCCGTTTTGGAAAAAAGATAAGGGTGAAACCCCTTTATTTTATTATTAAATAATAAGATAGTCCACTTTTAGAAGTAAAGATGAGGACGTAAAATTACACGTTTGCATTTGGAACAATTCCCAACTAATTTGGAAAATCAAATTCTAAAGGGTTAGACTTGGGTTTTCAAGTTCATCATGCAAAAAGACTTATGTAATCAAGTTCATCATGGATACATCATGCAAAAACCAAGCTCCTCATATGCATCTACCAACTCATCACACGTGTGCCTTACGTCACATTTTTCAACAATTATGTAGGGATAAATATGTAAAACGATCATAAAATAAAGAAAGTTAAAACATAATTATTAATGGAACGCATAAAAATTTTGTTATGATAGACGCTATTATTAATAAAATAAGTAATTAAGTATAAGGAAACTCGAATTTAGGGTTGGCGTACCCACCCTCAATACTGTACGACTCTGCCACTTATAAGTATGATGGCCGAACCCTTCAAACACATTTGAAAACTTTGGATGAGCTAAAATCCAACCCTAAGTACATTGTAATACTTTTGGTATCACTATCTACTGTACAGTGGAAAATCCAATTTGAAAAAAAAAAGAACTATGAGGACTGGAAGAGGAATTTTGAAATGGATTATGGGTTTCTCTGCTCATATGTTGAAAGTACCATACATCCTATGACAAGGGACAAGGTCACTAGGGAGGTCTTTGTCAAATACAAAACTATAGCATGTTGGTGTTGGTTTCGTGATTTACAATGAATTAAAATCATATAACTACAAGAAGGGACAAGTCAATAATCTAGAGAGCGATCAACGTACCTTGACATCGATTCGAGGAATCGCCATAGCCCATTGATGGTGCAATTGGTTTTGTTTGCAGCCTGCAAACAGACATTCTGAAACACAAGTTGAATGCAGGGGCGGATGCATATGGTCACATAGGGGTTAAATGTATACTCATTATTTTATATTAGATATTTAAAATAGTTCAATATATTAAAAGAATAAGGAAAAATAAGAAATTTTGCATATCCATTATATTAAAAAGATGAGTATTAACATTTTTGGACTCTGTTTTTAAATTTCTGAATCTGTCACTGGTTAAATGTAAGTTAAAACGGCGTTTAACGACACCAAATTACAGTTTCTCACAATATCTTACCCGCGACAACAAAAGTGATAAAAAAAATAAAACAAATGCGGACATTTATGTTGCATTATCACCTGACCAACAGATCGAACTAAAATATTTGTACCACGATGTTCTTAAATTTTTTTTTCTTTCAAAAATATCATTATTCTGTCATTGAATAATAAAAATTCTACGAAAGTTAAATTACAAATTTATTCTTAAACTATTTTAGATTTACAAAAAAAAATCTATAATTAAAGTTTTATATGAAGTTCAGGGGTTAAAATAAAATTTTACCCTTTCAATAAACCTTTTTATATTTTCAATTTTGTAAAAAAAATTATATAAATTTTATAAATTTAAAATTTTTAAAGAAAATATATAAATATTTTTCAACTTGTTAAAAAACAAATATATAATAAGGACAATTTGGTCAAATATACATTCTAATAATCTTTTATTCTTTTAACCAAACATGATAATCTTACATTCCTGCTAAGTCAACCAAACACAAAATACAACATTCCCAGTAATCTTACATTCTCACTGGTAATCTTACATTCTCACTGGTAATCTTACATTCCCACTGGTAATCTTACATTCCGTGAACCAAACGTACCCTAAGGGGAATAACATTTTCTTTTTATCATTAAGATCACTTGATGAATTATCTCATTCGTATTTTAACCCCGTTATCATTCGTAATTTATTATAATTGTTCCATTTTTCATTCGTTTATTTATTTTCTTGTTTGTAGAGGCCGAAAAGAGGTGCAACCAGAGATAGACACATGATTTTATATTAAAAATGATGAATTTGTACTTCTAAAATTTTAGAGTAAACTTAAATTTATAAAATTTTAAGAGATAAAAATAAGTTTTTAACAAAAATAAATAAATATAGAAAACTTAGAACATAAAACCTATGATAATTTTAAATTAAAAAAAAAAAGTGAGTACCCTCACCGCACGCTCACTCCATCCAGCGTTTGGTGCGTCAATTCAAGAAGCGACAGCGTTCCATGACTTGCTTTAGTTATGCGATGACTGGATGTAATATGGGTATCAACGGCATCGCGATTCCCCCAGCCCACGTCTGATTGATGAGCCCTTTGGCTCCTTTTAGAGCAAATGTCCGATTCCAAACTTTCACACAATTAATTAAAATAAGAAAAAATTTAACATTAAAATTTAGGGCCCTAAATTTAACATTTAGGGAGTCATTGCACACCTATTATTTTGAGAAAAATGTTAAATTTAGTAATTTATTAATAGAAATAGAAAAAAATAAGAAAATTTACATACCCAAATTTTTTTAGAATAAGATATTAAAATTTTGGACCCCTATTTTTTAATTTCTAGATCCGCCACTGCTTTCTGGTGTTTTTAATGTGGATTTAATCTTATTGTAGATGTTAATAAGATATCTAACATTAAAAATTTAACTAAAAATACATATGCATTATAAATTTATGTGTTAGATTAATTAATGATTTCAAATGAAGTATCTAGTATTAATAAGAGTACCAAGTATGGATGATGATGAACAATGAAGAATAATTTAAGAGAGGAATAAGTACTGAACTAATATATCTTTTAAATACGACATATTAAATTAGTTAAAATTAATATCAAATTGATAGAATATATATAAATTTTAAGAAATGAACTATTATTATATCATACCACTTAATTATTTCGTCTAATAATTAATGACTTAGTGACCAATTTCTGATAATATTTTAATTGAATAATTAAATCATATTTTTAGAGAAAAACATGGCCCGTCTGTAACTTGACTAATAATTGATTGACCATGAATGTAATTTATCATAATTGTTAGTAAGATTATAAACATGTTACTAAATTAAAAGAGTTATATATAAGTTAATTAATCAATTGTTACAAACAAGTCATTTTATCGTTGAGTGTTTAACAAATGTTAGTTCTTAATTATAATTTATTATTCTGATTATAATAATCGATAAATTAAATGATCTACTTATTATATTAATAAATAAAATGACATGATCATAACTAAAAAAAAAACTAACACCCATTTCATGTTAATGGCAAAGTGATATATTTGTAACAATTTGTTAATTGAATAAATGTTTTGTAACTTTTTGAAATTTAATGACGCATTTGTAATCTTACAATGATTGAATGGCCAATATTGTAGTTTACCCTTGAATTCTCCCTAACACACTCACTGTCGCCCGTCTCTCTTGCGCTAATAATGAAAGGAGTAGAGAAGGGAAAAAGAATCCATACATAAAGATATATTAATATACATTTTAGTTTGTTAAATGGAGACGAATAAAATAATAGTTAAATGTATTTAATTATTTGGTCGAGATAGTTCCTTCTTACTGCCTTTCCTCAAAAGGGAGCTAAAGCTTTGAATTGAAATAATAATTAAATAAATCAACAATTAAAATAAATGATAAATGGTCTTACATAATATAGTGAAAAATATTATTTATATAAAGATTAAAAAAAATTCATCTAAAATCACTATTTTTAGTATATCATAAAAAACATTATTAATTAATTAATTAATTAATTAATAGTAATAATAACAAATCCAAGCGGATCCTCCGTTTGTTGATGGGTTCGTAGTGTTTTCTTCCTTGTCGCGGAGTCGCCTACCAAAAGAAGCAGCAGGAGCCAAAGCGAAAGTCAAATCGGAATTTCAGCTTACTTTGCCGTTTTCATGCTTTTTCTCTCATTCGGCGCCCGCGTTGCTGCTATCTTTGGAAAATGGATCCTATTTGGGCGAGCTAACGCTGGCATCGGTGGCGGCGGTTCCTGATCTTCTAACTCGGTGATTTCAACTCCGGCATAGTCATCGCTGTCACTTCCGTGGCTGGCTTTGCTATCGCCGCCACCGTCGCCTACTCTCTTAGGTTAAAGAAAAAGGGGGAAAACGATCACGGAGCTTAGATTTTGATTATCAAAGGCAAAGTAGAAATCGATATGCTTACCGAACAGAAACCATTGTTGAAAGCTTTGCGGCGAAGTCACACGGCTTCGTCGTCGTCATCATCAGCAGCATCAACATCAACATCCTCATCCTCAGCATCGTCCTCATCATCGGCTTCAAATACTTCATCTTCTTCATCGTTGTCGTGGAGTCATTTGCGATCGGTTATATTAGTTGTTGCTTCTTCCTCTTCATCGTCATCTTCCTCATCTTCTTTCCAACCACTTCAAACTGATCGGTGAGTTCAGTTTTTCCTCTTAAACTTAAATTACTTACTTCCTTACTTCCCTTAAATCTAAATAAAGATTTCTACTTATTTTCCCTTGGATTTTATAGATTCCGACTTTTCCGTTTTTGTTAAAAAAAATAAAATAATTTCTCATCCGTTACTTGAATCCCCGATCTGAAAGTAGTCGAATAATTGCATCAGCGTCATATTCTTTAGGTTGCTAATAAGCGTTCGATTCCAATCTCATCGTCTCTTGCTCTCCCTAAAGGTTCTGAATCTGATCATTATTCGGTTCGATTTTCAAATTCGTTTCAAAGTATTTTGAAAGCCTTAACTGTTTCAACACTTGTGTTGGTCAAACTAGTCAACTGTTGTGTTCCCTCTAGCTTTTGCGAAGGAGCAGTCATTTTCAGAATCAAATTTATTAAGCAAAACACGGTTAAAAGCCAATAAATTCTCATTTTGGTAGTACTTCATGATAGGTGTTCATAAGAGGTGGACATTTTAATTATTTTGCTTGGGAATTGTGGTTTTTGTTTGTTATATCTTCACTATGGAACATATCAGTGATTGCAATTACTCTTGTAATCGCTTCTATTTGCAGAACTAGTCAAGTTTTTCACATGCTTGTCTTCACTCTTCCATGTATCTACTCAGCTTTTAGCATTACTCACTTGAGTGTTCCAAAAGTTTTGTTTCCTCGTATGATTCATTGCTGTTTTTGGAAGTGTATGAATTCGTTTAGTGTATCTTTCGCATATGCTTATATTTTGTTAACTTCATCCGATATCATAGGAACTATTATTCATAAGCTTACATCTTGAGGGAAGATTTATTAGTTTTGTTTCTTCTCGCTGCAGGGGTAGCCTAAAATCACCTTGGTCTCACAGGAGAAGAAAACATGCCCTTCTACCTAAACAATGGAAGAATTTGTTCACTGCAGATGGGAAACTCGTTGATGGTGGTGTCAAGTTTCTGAAGAAAATTCGAAGTGGAGTGTGTTATTAAACTTGCACTGATTTGTTTACCTTCAGTTTTGTCTTATCTTCTTGCAGATTGCATGTGGTTTATTCTGTTTTAGTGGATATTTCGTTGCTTATTTGAGAATTCATTCTTTGCATCTTCAATGCAGGGTGTTGATCCAAGTATTAGAGCAGAGGTGTGGCCGTTACTCCTTGGAGTGTAAGATTCTTATATACTTTGATTCAAATAACCGTTGCTTTCTTTGAACTACTTAATTATTGCTTCTATGACCTCTCAATTAGCTTACTCCTTTCGTATCACTGTCTAGTTGCCTGATTCTTTTCAAATAAACCTCTCTTTCTTTAAACATTTAATTTTTGCTTCTATATCATCTTTTTGTTTATATCTTGGTACTTTTCTGGCTGCTTATATATATATCAGTGTTCCAATAGTGGACAGAAGTCCTTGGTTTTAAGAATTTTTAATCTTTCTAGTTGTTAGACCCTTTGGAAGGAAAGAGAGGAATGAAGAATTTTGTATTCATTTGCACAGTATGCTTCAAGCATCCATTTTAGTACCCTTTTTTCTTGCTGCTTGAGTTTTTCTTTATTTGTAATAATTTGTTGTGTTGATCACTTATCCAGAAAACACAAATTTTGAGATGTTTTCGTATGCATTAGATAAGTGGGATCATAAGTGACCTGTTAAACGAATTAACGGTGATATCTGCTTGGTTAACAGATATGACTTCAACAATACGAAGGAAGAAAGAGATTCCTATAGAAGTCAGAAACGGTATCACTTGTTTTCTTTCTTGTGCTTCTTTAATACGCAAATGGGTTGCCAATGCTTTGTTACATTACAATCTTCATTCTCCCTTCTTTTTTAAATTTCCTGAAGGATTGTTTGTTTACTTTTTTCTGATACAGGAAAGAGTATGAAAGCTTGAGGAAACAGTGCCGCCAAATCCTTAAACATCTTGAGAAGAGTGGTAAGTTGAAGGGAACTGCTGGAAACATCTGCAGTGAGGACTTTGGTAATTTCAGTCGAATTCTTGATTCTCCAGGCTTAGAGGACGTGGTTAGTAGGTCCCACTCTACCGATGGAGGAAGCCCAGCCATTGATGATTCTGATCTCCCGTTCTATGATCATAGGCATCCAACCCTGTTATCCTCTGATTCATTTCTGGAGAGAGTTGTTGGCAAGAGTGTAGTCGATAGTCAAGATTCCTGTACTGGTGAAACAGAATCATCTTATTCTGACTCTTCTGAAGACCATGAAAACACACCTCTCCTTTCCTCAGAAATAACCGAGGAAAATAATACTCATAATGATGATAATGATAGTTCCTCTCCCTCCCAGACAGAAGGCAGGCCTGCATTCCACACTGATGAAGATTTTGCCAAATGGAGGAGAATCATCCTCCTTGATGCCGTGAGGGCAAATGATGACTGGATCGTATACACTCCTTCTCAGGCTGCAGTATCCACAGTGAAAGCACAACGGTTGGCTGAGAGTGTTGGGTTGAAAGATTATGATGACTTAAACCCATGCAGGATTTTTCATGCTGCTCGGCTTGTTTCTATCCTCGAGGCTTATTCCCTTTATGATCCCGAGATAGGTTACTGCCAAGGAATGAGTGATCTGCTCTCCCCAATAATCTCAGTGGTGGAGGATGACTCCGAGGCCTTCTGGTGCTTTGCAGGTTTCATGAAAAGAGCTCGTCACAATTTCCGACTTGACGAGGTGGGCATTAGAAGACAGTTAAACATTGTGTCCAAGATTATAAAGTGCAAGGATAATCATCTATATCGACACCTGGAGAAGCTTCAAGCCGAAGATTGCTTCTTTGTGTATAGAATGGTTATAGTTCTTTTCAGGAGGGAGTTAAACTTTGAGCAGACTCTTTGCCTCTGGGAAGTGATGTGGGCAGACCAGGCAGCGATCCGTGCCGGCATTGCAAAGTCTGCTTGGGGGAGGATGAGACTTCGAGCTCCCCCTACCGATGATCTTCTGCTTTATGCAATAGCAGCTTGTGTTCTTCAAAGAAGGAAACTGATAATAGAAAAGTACAGTAGCATGGATGAGATAATGAGAGAATGCAATAGTATGGTCGGACATCTCGACGTCTGGAAGCTTCTCGACGATGCCCACGACTTGGTGGTCAACCTGCATGACAAGATTTAGGCCAAACACCTCTCTGCTTCTTTTTCTTTCTTTTTTTGGCTGATTTTTCACCTCTAAACCTCTTGCAACCTTTATGGATATCCCTAAACCAAGGGATCCAAGTTATTTGACATTTCTGCTTGAAACAAGCGTTTGGTAGGCGAATTCCCTGAACTAAGAAAAACTATGAGTTTTACATTTATTATGTTATATTGCCCGCGCTCAATACTAGGTCTGGGTGATAGTGGCAAAGCTGAGTAATCAGCTACTTGGAAGCTTCTTTAGCTTTGCTTGCTTGCAATTACTGAATGACACAAACTTATAACACATATGGTATTCTCCTTTTATTTCAGAATTTCCCCATTGTTCAGTTTATTTTTGTTTTTTTGTTGATAATTTTAAGCATGTTACTTCAAGATTAAAAGTCTAATTGTTCTCCAAATCATTTGCTGTTCGAACCTTCAAAATTTTGTCTTCTTATTCAACAAATTTAGGTGCTCCACTTATCTGATGTAAAAATTAAATTCTAATTGGCAACATTGTAAATTTTGAATATTAAAAGGTCACATAATTAAGTTGAAAAGAATTACAGTATTAATTGCTATCGATTGAAATTAATGGGATTAAATTCTTATAATTGGGAGTATAAGGATTAAATTTCAAAAGTTAAAAGAGTATAGGGACTGGTCATAAGTGTGTAATGGATCTTAATTAGATGTTAAGTATGGTACCTAAATTACCAGTTTTGGTCTATTTTAGTACTTAAACTTTTAAATTTTTTAAAATCGTACCTAATGTTTAGCTTTCATTTCATTTTAATACCGGCCGTTAAAAACTTAATGCGCTTGTACCTAATCTATCAATTTTGGTCCGATCTAGTACTTAAATTTACAAAATTTAACATCAAATTTTGAACGGGTTACTAAAATGAAACAAAAACTAAATTTTTTAATAGTGAGGTACTTAAATGAAATACAAACTAAAATTTAGGTATGATTTTGAAAATTTTAAAAATTTATTACTAAAACGGATCAAAATGATAGTTTAGGTACTAAACACGTAATTTACCCCTTAAATTTTTAGTCACTATTGAGTGACATAATTATAGCAATAGATAAATTGAGTGGATTAATTGTAACAATTGATAAAATGAATGATCTAATTACAACTGAAAAGTTAACTTTAGTTTTATTTTTAACATTAAATTGAACTTGTTTGTAACAATTGATTGATCCGTTTATGAGTTTCAAAATTAAATAATAATTTTGTAATTTTACTAATAAAGGAAAGACCTATAGTATAATTTACCCTTAATGTCTCCACGAAACTCTCGGGCTTTTCCCTGTGCCCTATCGTAGCGCCCCTAACACGTTTTAATATTCATTCCATTTCCATTCTCGTCCTCGTTTCCTGCAAAACGGACATAACGGCCAAAACAGCCATGCCCCCCCCGCCGTCGTACGGACAGGAGCTTCTTACAAGAATTACTCATATATGCAGTCAGCACCGCTTTCAGTTGCCTGGTCCTTTTCGCCGGCCTCAAACAACTCAACCCACATCGCGATTCCTCCAAGAAATCCGTTGAAAACAAAAATGCAATCTCCAAACGCCTCGGCCGCCCCCTCATCCACACTGACCCTTACGAGGTACTTCAAAAAGAACGATTTTTTTCTTCATATTCATTTGTATTCTCAAAGTTATTTCTTCCTCCCCTAAAATGCAGGATGTGATGGTTGGTGATGTGGTGAACCCAGATCACATAGACGTTGAATTTGAATCTGTCTGTGGGTTTGATAGAATCAAAGAAGCTTTGTATGAGTTGGTTATTCTTCCTCTTAGAAGGCCCGAGCCTTTTGCTTATGGCAAGCTTTTGGATCCCCAAAAAGGGGTGCTTTTGTACGGACCACCGGGGACAGGAAAAACCATGCTTGCCAAAGTCATTGCCAAAGAATTTGGGGTTGTCTTTATCAATGTTAGAGTCTCGAATTTGATGAGTAAATGGTTTGGCGACGCCCAAAAACTAGGTGAACATAGTGGGGATTTCTTTTTGATCAATTTAAGGGATCCTAAGATCATAATAATACTGTTGTGTTATATTGTTGCAGTGAATGCCATCCTTCGTTTGGCTTATAAGCTGCAGCCAGCTATTATATTCATTGATGAAGTGGATAGTCTTCTTGGTCAACGACGAGCCACGGATCAGGATACAATGGCTATTATGAAAACTGAGTTCATGACCTTGTGGGATGGTTTTTCCACCGATCGCGAGTGTTCTTGTTTATTTCCTTAATTGCAAACTAATTTTCAATCTGTTAAAACCGAGTTCATGACCTTGTGGGATGGTTTTTCCTTCTTGGCTTCATGTCCTGATGTAGTAATATAGCTTGAAATAATCAGTAGTGTATGTTGATATGGAGCATGTTAACTTTTGTATATGGTTGAAGTTGATTGTTCTATTAACTTGCATTCAGAGAATGCTCGAGTTATGGTGCTTGGTGCAACTAATTGTCCGGCGGAGCTCGACGAGGCGATACTTAGGCGTTTTTCCCAGGTTTTTGAAATTGGAAAGCCTGACTTTGATGATCGAGAAAAGATATTGAGGGTGATATTGAAGAATGAAAATGTTGAAGACACTATTGACTTGTATCACATAGCTAGACTGTGTGAAGGTTACACTGGTTCTGATTTGCTTGAGCTCTGCAAACAAGCAGCATATGTTCCTCTCAGGGATTTCTTAAATGAAGAAAAGGCTAACAAGACACGTCCAATGAGTACATTTATATCATTTGATTTACTCTATTTATCTCAACTTACTGGTGTTTTTGGTGTTCGGTTGCAGGGACCAAGATTATTGTCACAATAGGATTTTGAGAAAGTTTTGGCTACTTACGTTAAAACAAGCATCGGTGTCGATGAGCACAATGGGTATAACTCTTGTTCATCAACATGAGTTGTCGAATGGTATCGGATCAGGTCGCGATGGAGCACATCAAATCATGATGTTCTTGAATACTAACTTTTAGTTGGAGCACATGAATTGGCAATAGCCTCTCCATGCTGTTTGAGTTATTCTATATCGGTGGTCGTGTTACTGGTGAATATAGATTTCAGAAATGTACAACGGTAGGCTTATAAACTCGAGCTTGACTTAGAAAAATTTTTCTGAATTATTTGTGGAGTGTGGAAAGATTGTTCCCTGTAGCCATATTTGTTATTTTACAGAAAAGAATACAAACAGTAAAATCTCAACTCTTGTTTGAAAGGAACATCTTGTTCTTTACCAGTAAAATCTATTGTATGGAGGAAAATGTAATCCATGATACAGATTGCAGTCAAAATGCACCATATATACAGATTCTAAATCCATTTTGAGGATTTGGATTACCTTGCATCTGTCCTCGGAGCTGATCTTTTCATGGGAAAAGGACTCAAAATCCTCATTTTGATGCAAAAATCCAAGCCAACAGCAGCAAACAAAAAAATGAACAGATTCTGGGATACATAAAGTGCACCATCAACAGCATGCGACAAGAAGCTTTCGGCATCCAGTTCCAGAGGAGCCCCTCCACCCAATGTGCTAAGACCTGCATTTTCATTATTTTAATTTTGCATATCAGATTTGAACTATGAGCTTTATGCATGCATATCACTGATATATATATCCTGTTCTACTGATAATATGCATAAAGCATTCTATTTATTGGCACTTGATTATACCTTTCACAAAACCAAAAGCTGCACATGTCCCAGTTTTTAGCTGAAAATTGTCCAAGTCTCTCCGAACGGCATAGCGGAAAGTTACCCCGAACAATGCACAGCTAATGAAATTGACTGATCAAGGGAGCAACAGCTGAGTAGTGCTGGAAACTTGGGTTAAAGAGATGGGGAGACCAGCAAGGGTGCCAACAAGTGCTGATATCAAAGCTGCTTTTACGGACTCTAATCTCTCTTTATCGATGTCAATTCCTTCGCCACCTTCGCTGCTGAAACCATTTCCTTCTCCGACATTATCTTCATCCAGTGACAGCGATCGTTCTGCTTCTTCAATCATGGCCCGTGCCTCCGAAATCTCCTGCTGAGTCTCTGCAATCTTGAATTCTCACAAAATTTACTCGCCAATAGTTAAACTCTCATGGGAAATATCTCGACCAGTCGATAGATAATCATAAGATAAGTGTTCCCGGACAAAGTTGGTAGATTTAGTCAATATCAATTACGACTTTCAATACATAATCCGGGGTATGCTCTGATTCATCACGAAGAAGAAAGATCAAAATTCGGAGAAACATAACGCTTTTCCCAAACAAAGGGGCTGAACCTGAGACTACATTTCTTTCTTTCCAACACTATGCAATACTAAAGTTAAAATCTTGGAAAACATAACGCTGGAACTCCCTCGGTTATGTATGCATTAAAACCATTTGCAGTAAACTGACGGAACTAAAAGGTCTTGAAAAGGAAGAATTAGAGAAGAAGCTGACCTCGGACGCCCTGGATTCAAGTTGGTCAATGTAATTTCTCAACAATTGAGCTTCAAGTTCCTGTTTTTCAATTTCAGCAAGTTGTCTCTTAGCGATCTGTACTCGCTGTGAGGCCTTCTCCAATCCATCAAGCAAACCCTTGTTCGCTTCTCTGTTCAAAAGCTCCTCGACCTGCTTGCCCACAATACCGGAAAGTGCGTCCTTCAAGCCATTACTTGTTTCTAGCTCCTCTGAGTTGCCGCTGCATTTCAAGCTGAGAGGCTTTAGCAGAGGAGAAATGGGGCCATTTGGACATGTTGAAGGAGAAAAGAAGAAGGGATCTTTGAACAGGAATCTGGGCTTCGAAGAGAGAAGCAAAGTGGAAGTGATTGCTGAGGGCATTGATTGATGCAGAGATTGCAGCACCTGGATCCCTATGCAAAGCTTATCTTTTCACTCTTACTCGCTTGAGTCCTGGCCCCTTATTTTTAGGGCGATTTTTATGATATATCACCGGTGATCGGTAATATTATCGATCTAATATCGATTAGATTATATTTTTTGATCTAACACCCTTAGTAGTAAAACGCGCCCCTTGCACCGTGCTATACGGTGAGCTGGCGCCACGTGGGTATAGCGCGGCCCCTGCAGCACGTTATACGCCACGTAGGGGTATAGCGCGGATCAGGTATCGCGCTATACCTTTACTCCCCACATAATTTTATATAGCGCGCGCATGTACCGCGACATACCTTTATTCTGACATAATTTTATATAGAGCGGATCAGGTACTGCGTTTTGTATAACTTTCATCGTTATAAATATCATTCTCCGCCGGTTAATTTCTCACATCTCTCCTCTCAACTTATAAATTAATACAATAATTCCGTCAACGAGTCAATAATTCTGGCAATCTTCTCATATTTTATTTAGAAGTTCGTGCGATTTTTCGTTATAAGGTAATTTTGTTATAATTTTTATTATATTTATTGTTTATTATGATTATTTGATAAAAAATATTATACTAATTATTTTCAATTAATTTTTGTGTTTGTAAAATTGAAAAGCGGGAGCATACGTCGAAATAGTTTTACGGTGCAGGTAATAATATTAAATTATATTATTTAATTTATTTACATTGATGTGTAAAAATTTTATTGTGTTATATGTTCGTTCATATATAATTTATTAAATCAGGTTTGTTTCATTTATTTGTTTTGCATATTTAATAGTGCCGCACTTTTAAACTCAAATAATGGCGAGACTTTCAATTATTGTTTATTATGATGGTGAAATTCGAGAAGATGAAACCGGCGTTGTTTTCGTATTAAATGAGCTTGTTAAAATATCATTTAAGAGAAACATAACTCTTGAGGAGCTGATAACGAAGATTTCGAGGAAGATTCATGTTAGAAGTAGTAGAAGAGTGTCGTCGTTGCAGTATAGATTTCCAACATCATTGTTGCCATTAACTTATACAACGTTTGAACTTTCATTGCGATATGGATATTAGAGAAAGATTTAGACAAGACAGAAGATGTGGACATTGTAGAAACTCATGACACACTAGAAAAACATGTCCACTTCTGTTGTCATCAAGTAACAATTGATGAAGAAATGATGTATTTTATTGTCAAATAATAATTTTTCTACTTTAATTTGCATTTACTTCAAATTAATGTCATTTGATAATCACCGATGAAGATTAAAAAAACAAACACAATCATTAAATTTTAACAAACTAATAAAAATAAGTATTAAATGTTAAATGATAACCAAATTACAATAACTGATATTAAATGGTAATAAAAAACGAACTGAAATACATTAAAAAAGTCCAATAAATTTAACAAAATAAAGTAAGTATTAAATGAGAAATAATAATAAAAATTACAATTTAACAAAATAAAGTAAATACAAATATAATAAAAAAATAAAATCTATCGATGCCTGCAACGCGAATGTGTTCCGCAGGGCGGTGGCTGTCGGTCTCGATGAGGATTTCTTCGTATCACTTGTTCTGACTCCTCGCTATCATCATCATCACCGTCATCGTCGTCGTATAATAAGGACCCTGGAGGTGTATGACTGACTATCCCACCTCCGTATATGAGGAGCTGATGACAATGAAGCACCTCCGTAGAATAAGGACCCTGGAGGTGTATGACTGACTATCCCACCAGCCTGCGAAAACTGGGAAAACTCATAAAACCCAGACATCGCTGAGTGTGAAAACTGTACAGGAGGCGGTGTCTGTGCTGCGGCCATGGGTGATGAGGCTGAACTCGCCAAATATCTAGCATATGAACCCAAAGTCGGGTCTGCAAACATAGACCCATAATAGCCTCCAGGAGGGGTCATCTATGACGGTGGCGGTGGCGGGGTCATAAAACCGGGTGAAGACAGCGGCGACATCTGGTAATGGAAAGGCGATGGCGGCATCATATATGGTTGCGGCATCATATATGGCTGCGGTGGCTGCTGGGAAGGTCCTGCTGGTACAGCTGAGGATGAACCAGATGCACATGCTCTCCGTCCACGAGTCGGGGGACGATGGTGCTGTGTCGGTGAACGTCTCTGTCGACGTCGTGGAAAGGTCTACCCTCGTGCATCCTCGGGAAGTAGAAACAGTTTCCAGTTACTGTTGAACCACTCATAATAATCCTCAGCATACATCAAGAGGTCATAAAAAATGGGCTCTCTACGGGGAATGCGCCGATGTCGATCCTCCCACAACACGACCCACCCATGATGCCTAACCAGCCAATCTGTGTCTGTTTTGTCGTGTCTGTCTAAGCTATGCAACTCGTCCATATTGCGAGGTGCTTCCGGAATTGGTTGAAAACAACCAAACTGCCGGAGCACGCGATCACTGGAGTGCCACTCGACGGTCGCATAACAGATCAGAGGGAACATCGCCATCCAAACATCTAATGGACCCCTCAACTCAGGTGGGATCACCGCCCTCACATCATCAGTAGAATATGGCACCCATTCAAACTAAAACAAATAATATATAATTTTTATCAAAATAATAATCTAATTATATAATTATAATCTAAAATCGATTTTTAAACATTAAAATTCACACCTGTGTGTCAGCCTTTTGATCGATTAGCACCCTAATCTTTTCTAAATCATCAGGTAGCTCCTGATGATTTTTCCTATCATTAGACCACCTATTCAAGGGAAAAAATTTGTTATACGCTGTATAAAATTATTAATATACAAAATCAGTTTTATAATTACCTCAGAAGTAGTGGAAATACGAATGGGTTCTTCACAACGGGACATAAAAAGGGCAATCGATACCATGGCCAAGACTGCAGCAGCAGGAGACATCCGCCGATAGCATTACGCCTATAGTCAGTGGCTCCAAACATCTCTCTGTACAGCAAAGCCAAAACTGTCGAGCCCCAACTGAATGATCCGGCGAGACGAAAGTCGCTAAGATATCGTAACCACATGCAGTGAACTAGGTTGCGCGATTTGTCTGGCATCAACAACCCTCCTATCAGCTGCAGTATGCATGCCCGTGCATACATCTTAACCTCATCCTCAGAGGCGTTTGCGCTCAACTCCCGAAAATTGACATCTAACCAATTTAACGGTATCCTACCTCCGATAAAATTTTCCAGGACACGTCCTAGATTATCCCGACACAAAACAGTCCAAGAACCGGAAGCTATCCCCGATATCACATCTCCATCCACCAGAAGCCCCAGGTGCATAGAAACATCCTCAAGCGTGATCGTGCACTCTCCGCACGGAAGATGGAATGTGTGGGTCTCCGGCCTCCACCGCTCTACTAAGG